GAGCTGAAATGTCAGAGTCAAGGGAAAGAGGAGAAAGTACCTGGCCAAGGGGGCATGGCTGAGAAAGTCCAGTGAGTCAGCAGTGTAGCTGGTAGAAGAGTGCAGACATGGCTGGCATAGGACTCTTGCTGAATTCGGAAGTTCTGGGAGCAGCCAGCCAATTAGAGGCTGTGCTTGGAAAAGAGATGCCTTAGGAACAGCATGGAAGCTGCCTTCAGTGACCCAAAGAGTTTTCATGTGGAAGAGGATGGCTTAGTGGAAAGAGCATGGGGTCTGGAGGCAGAAGTCAAATGCAGACTTAGCTAGAGTAGAGATGGATGAATTTGGGCAGGTTGCTTCCCCTCTCTGGGTTTCAGTTTCCTCCTGAGTACAATGAGGGGATCGGGCTCAAAGGCCTCTAAGGATGTCAGGTCTCATAACCTATTTGCATCCAAGGGGGAGAACTACAACCAAGGGGTTGAAATTACTTGAAGAGGCAGATCTGGGCACAATAAAAAGAAGAATTTATGGAATGAAGATTGAGTATGGTGGGGTTGTGGACCTTCTCAAGAGGAAGTGAGTTCTCTGTCACTAGAGAGAAGATCTGGATGATCTGGTCCACCTGTGGACATATGTGAAGCACTTTGTCCATCTCCAAGTGGACCAAAATGAGCACTATTTTCCTTTGTTTTGCAATCCTTTGTGGACAATAATCACTTAGGTACATTGTTTATGGTTTTAATGTTGCTCTGTAAAGGATAACTTTCCAACTAACACGGAAAAGGTGACCTTTGCTCCTCTTTTCAGCTGAACAAAAACAGTTCAGCCCTCTCATGATGAACTATTTTCCAAGGCAGCCCCTGCTTCTGCTAAAGGCTAGCTCCAGTCATGTTCCTCCTTACTCCTGGCCATGTTCTCCTCACCCTCAAAGCGCCAGGGACCCAGTAGAACTTCTTCAGCTTTAGTTCTGCTCTGGGGCTCCCACACCTCTCCTCATGGGTAGCAGTCTCATGGGGCCCACTGTGGCCTTGTTGACTTGACTGACCAGCTTACTTATCATCAGCCACCTAGTCACCTCCACCTACTTTCAGCTCTGGAACCAAAATCATACTTCCATTGCTCCTGGAAAGGGTGTTTCAACCCACTTCCCTACAGTTCCAATTCATCAGCCCCATGACTTAACAAACCAACATACTTCTCCTGGCCACCATTCACTGCCAGGTGAGCTCCTGTGGGGCAGAAGCTGCCTTTTCCTTTGCATTTATAGCCCCAGCAAATAGAGTGGAATAGAGTAAACTCTTAATAAATGCTTTTCATTCACTTAAGTCAATGAAGATATCAGTTTGGTGACCCAAGTACATTCAGGAATAGTTCATCTTTTAAAGAAAGAATTTTTCTAGTTGCTCATTAATTTCTAAAGTTCAAGTATTCACAAAGTATGCTTTAGAAAGGTCAACAGTAATGATAGGATGAAATTCAATTTAAAGAAACAAAATATTTAGTTGTCTCATTTGTAAAATGGGGATACCATCAACTACCTAGAGGGAGTTGAATCAGATCATCTTGAGGTCTCTCTTAGTGCCAAGATCTCTGATTTTAGAATTCTCCTGTGAATCCATCAGGACCAAAAATTGTTTTCGTTTGTTTATTTTTTAATGATAGTTCCTTTACAACTCATTCTATTTTCTTCTCTAAGATTGAGTTATTTAAGATCTCTATCTGGTCTTCTGGTCAGTTTAATTATTTTATATTTTTGAAGGTATTCCGTTTCTTTTGTGTTCTCAGTTTTGTTAGCATATAATTGTGTATAACAGATTCTGATTATTCTTTTTTATTTCTTCTGGTTTTGTAATTTCATCTTGCCTTTTTTCCCCTATTTTATTGATTGATTTTCTGCTCTCTTCTTTTTAATCACATTAGCTAAATGTTTATCCACTTTATTAGTCTTTTCAAATAATTAGCTTTTAGCTTTATTTATAACTTCTACAGTTGGTTTTGGTTTTGTTTTTGTTTTTATGGGGCACCAAGGTGGTGCAGTGGATAGAGTGCCAGGCCTAGAGTCAGGAGGACTCATCTTCCCAAGTTAAAATCTGGCCTCAGACACTTAGTAGCTGTATGAGCCTGGGCAAGTCACTTACCTCTATTTGCCTCAGTTTCCTCATCTGTAAAATGAAGAGCTGGAGACATAAATGGTAAAGCACTCTAGTATCTTTGCCAAGAAAAGCCCAAATGAGGTCATGAAGAGGAGGACATAACTGGAAAAACTACTGAAGAGGTTTTTTTTTTGTTTCAAATTAATCTATTTCTCCTCTAATTTTTAATATCTCCACTTCTGTGCTTATTTTAGGTTTATTTGTTGGCTATGGGTTTTTTTAAAGCATATTTAGTTCATTAATTCTCTCTTTCTCTATTTTGTTAATATATGCTTGTAAGGATATGATTTGTCCCCTGAGGACTGCTTTAGATGAATCCCAGACATTTTAGTATTTTATCATTATCATTTTATTTCACACAATTATTGTTTCTATGATTTGTTCTTTGAGCACTCATAATTTATGATTTCATTGTTAAGTCTCCATTTGGGTCTGTGTTTTTTGTTTGTGGTCTCTGGACTAAAGATTATTTTTATTACATTATGGTCTGTAAAAGATATATTTACTAGTTTGTCTTTTTACATTTGCTTGCAATATATCTGTGCCCTAATGCATGGTCAATTTTTGTAAAAGTTTCATATCGTGCTGAGAAATATGCATATTCTTTTGTAGTTCCATTTAGAAGACACTATCTGTCTCTTAGTTCTAGTATCACCAGTAATTTGTTCAGTCATAGATTTTCCCTTTTGTTTATCTTTTTGTTACACTTATCCAAAACTGAGATAGGGCCACTGAAGCATTTCACTACTGTATTACTGTCTATGTATTCTTATAGCTCAGTTAATGTTTCCTTTATGAATTTGAATGCAAAGGCATTTGGAGTATTTAAGTTTACTACTAATGCTGGTTTGTTGTCTATGGTTCCTTTCAACATAATGTTGTTTTCCTGTTTTTTCCTCTTTTATTTTTATGTTTGTTCTTGTTCTGTCAGATACTATGATTACAACTCCTACTTTTTTGGATTCATTTAATGCATGATAATTTTTTTCCACAAACATTTTTCCTTAGTTTTATTCTGTGCATGTTTGTGTTTTTAAAATATGTTTCTTATGAGCAAGAGACTGTGGGATTTTACTTTCTGATCCAATCTATCATTCTTTTTCATTTTATTGGACTACTTAATACATTCATATTTAAAGTTATAATTTAGGTTTACTATTTTTTCCTTCATTTGCCTCTAAAATTGTTTTTTTCGAGTTATGTTTTTTCCCTCTTTTAGTGTAAAGACAATAAATACTATGTCTCTTCAGTTATATTAGTTTAGTTTTGATTTTTTTAAAGTGGTCCTATTCCCACTGGCTCTTCTTCCCTTATTCCTGAGCTCCTCTCCTCCCATTTGTTACCCTCTTCCCTTTGAAGATTTGCTTATTTAGTTTCCTTTTTTTTCCTGCTTTTATCTAGTTATTTAATTCTTTCTCTTTTTTCCCCTCTCAGTCAAGTAGCATCTACCTTCTCTCTTCTCCTTCTACTTGTCCTGTTTATTAGTTTTTTAAATTTCATTTTCTGAATCTCTTTCCAGAAAGAATTTCTCTCCCTCATTCTATTCATTATCCATCCTTCTTTTCTGTCTACTCCAGACCCTCGTTTTCAGGCTCATTGCCCCTTTACTTATCTACTGCCTTTCTGTTCTCTACATTCTTCATGGAACCAAAACTTTCAAGGTACCCATCTTTCCCTCCACTCCATGCTTTAAGCATTCTCCCACTGCCTTAAAGACCCTGCCTCCAGACTCTCTTTTCTGATGTGCCTCACTCCAAAGATCTATGATTTTAATAGCTACAAAACCTTTTTCAAAGTGTGTCCATGTTTTATACTGTTAGAAAGAATGACTAGCTAAATGTCCATATCACAAAGCTATTCTGAGTAAAGCGCTTTGTAAACCCTTAAGAATGCCATGAATGTGAGTTTTTGGACCATGTTAGGGTTAGACCACTAACTCTAACTTTGCTAAGGGCTTTGCAAACAGCATATGATTGGTTAATAAGCACATGATAAATCTCTAGAAGTCTTTGTATTGCTGGATAGCTGTGGAAACTCATTCAAAAGTCCACATTGTTTATTGCCACATCCCAGTACCCTAACCACAATCTAAAGAGGGCTGAGTCAAGGAGAAGGATTCATCTTTGATTTTTCCTGTTTACCTCGAACCTTTCATTCCAAAAAAATGTGACAAGATTCTAGGTATTGTGAAAAAACTCAAGTGGCAATCCCACTTTCATGAGATCCACTCCACACCAGGGGACTGTGGCATAACTGAAAGATTACCCGTCTGCCTCGATCAGGATCCTGTCTTACTGTTCAAACGTTTTCAGTGGTGTCCTATTCTTTGTGACCCCTTTTGGGGTTTTCTTCGCAAGAGTACTGCAGTACTTTGCCATTCCCTTCTTCAGCTCATTTTACAGATGGAGAAACTGAGGTAAACAGAGTTAAGTAACTTGCCCTGGGTCACAGAGCTAGTAAGTGTCTGAGGCCAGATTTGAACTCAGGAAGATGAGTCTTCCTGACTCCACGCCTGGCACTTTATCCACTGTGCCATCTAGTTGCCCAGATTCTTGTCTAGGTTAAACGCATCTGGAAAAGATTATCTTGGGGTGTCTCCTAAGGTACTCTGGGCTTCAGTCAGCTCTTTTGTGAAATGGGGAGGCACTGCCTGCCTTACAGGGCTGTTGCAATAAAAGTGCTTTCAGAGACATGTGAGAAGCCCATGCACGCTTAACACTTTGTATCACAGGAAAAACTATGTGAGGGACTAAATTTGTATCATTTCATTCTTACACAGTTTGATTGGCACAGATTCTTCAATGTAATAGTCACAAGTAGAAGAAAGAATGACCAGGAGGTCACATGCTGAATTATGTCATTACTTACTGAGTCATCTGTCGCTGAAGGTGGCCAGCCTTCCCACAACTGATGGCGAACAGGGATACTAGTAAGGTCATATACATTCCTTTTTACCTGTTAAAATAAATAAATAAATAAAAATGCATTACTAACATGTTTTCAATAATGATGACGAACATTTTCCTACTCATTCTTTTTATTTTCATGACACTCTACTAGACCAGCCAGTACAAAGATAAGGACCAGGTTTTACTCTGACTCTCCCTTGGCCATGGGCACACACAGCCCATATTTAATAAATGCTTGTTGAATTGATAAGTTTTCATAGGAATTTTCTACCATCCTACTTACATGAAAACTGAAAGTTAAGAAAATGAAACACAAGTTAGAAAGAAAAGAAAAAAGAGACGAGAAAGCAGGCCTTTAATCCCACATGGTGTCTAGGCTCTTTTTTTGATCATGGCTTTTACATAGTCCAATAATTTTTAAATTCTCTCTCCTGGATCTATTTTCCAGGTCAGTTGTTTTTCCAATGAGACTTTTCACACTGTTTTCTAATTTTTCATTCTTTTGGATTTGTTTTACAGTGTCTTGGTTTCTCATAAAGTCACTAGCTTCCAACTGCGCTACTCTAATTTTTAAGGAAGTATTTTCTTCAGTAATCTTTCGGACTTCCTTTTCCATTTGGCCAATTTTGCTTTTTAGGGCATTCTTCTCCTCATTGGCTTTTTAGACCTCTTTTGCCATTTGGGTTAGGCTATTTTTTAAGATGTTATTTTCTTCAGTATTTTTTTGGGTCTCCTTTAGCAAGTTGTTGACTTGTTTTTCATGATTTTCTTGCATCACTCTCATTTCTCTTCCCAGTTTTTCCTCTACTTCTCTTACATGCTTCTCAAAATCCATTTTGAGCTCTTCCAAGGCCTGGGACTGATTCATATTTTTCTTGGAGGCTTTGGATGTAGGAGCTTTGACTTTGTTGTCTTCTTCTGGTTATATGTTTTGATCTTCTTTGTCGCCAAAGTAAGATAATATAATCTGACTCTTTTTGCGCTGCTTACTCATGATTCCAGCCAATTACTTGAGTTTTAAACTCTTTGTTAAGGTAAGAGTCTGCTTCCGATGTGGAGAATGTACTGTCCCAAGCTTCAGGGGTTTGTACAGCTGTTTTCAGAGATACTTCGAGGGACCTGAAAAGTGTCAGTTCTTCCAAGGTGGTATGATAAGGGGCAAGGTGTTTCCTCTCCACCGCCACAACAAGTTCCACCACACCAGCACTCCTCCTCACCCCAGGATTGCCACCCAGAACTGTGACCCAGATCCAAGCAGGGGCAAAGGAAGAGATTCCTGCCTCAGTACTGGCAAAGAGGATTCCTGCAATCACCCTCTGATCAGCCACTCAATTCCCCTTCAGCCTATGGGCCGGAAACTCAAGAGGCAGCCAACACCCTGCGCCGCTAGCTTCTCTCTCTCACCGCAGTCACAGACCTTTCCCACTGACTTTCCAAGTTGTCTTTGGCGTTCAAAGGTTGAGAAGTCTGGAAACTGCCACACCTGCCCACTATTCAGTTTCTGAGGCCTGCTCTAGGTTTGCTGCGACCTGTGTGCCCACGCCGAACTGTGCTCCTCTCCCTGCCCGGCATGATATACCTTCCCGATGAACCATCCAGGTTATCTTGGGCTGGAAATTTGTTCCACTCTGTCTTTTTGTGGGTTCTGCTGTTTTAGAATTTGTTTGGGGCCATTTTTTTTTACAGGTATCTGGAGGGGTTTGGGGGAGAGCTCAAGCAAGAAATTCTAGGTCTATGTTTAGCTAATAGGATCACAGATTCAGAGCTGGAATGCACCTAAGAAGTTGTCTAGTTCAACCCTCTCATCCTGCAGAGTTGGAGAAGGGAAGAACTTGCCCAAGGTCACCCAAGGGGTGAAGCAGAAGCCCTAGGATTCTGAGTGCATGCCTAGTACTCAGTTCTCTTTCAATCACTGCATGTGGAGACTCAGTAGTGGACAGATACCCTGAGATATGTTTACAATTCTTTGGGGTTTTTTTTTTCCATTTTATAAAGCAGATATTAAATGTTCAAAGTGTCAAGACAGAGAAAAAGCCTGAGGAGGAACAATTTTGATTATATAGCCAGTCTTTAGAACGTGGCCTGGAAGCAAATTCACCTGATTATTAAGACAGTATTTTTTATATAGTAGAGTTTTCAGATATGGGGGAAAAATCTATAAAAATAAAACAAAACAAGAAAAGAGACAGGATATGGATCATTATCAAATTTAAAATGCCCCCAATTTCAAAATGGCACACTAGCATTTCCTAACCATTATTCTTATTATAGTATTCAGATCTAGCATTAAAAAAAAAAATACAAGGCAATCATCATTTTATATGAAATAAATACATTTTTATTTTTAAATTTTCTTGAATAGGAAAACCTGACTTTCTGGATATACCCACTACCTTAACTGATGCCTTTGGAAACTCATAACATGTAACTTGTCATGTTATGGACTACAGTTATTCTACTAGGTCGCATGTTCCCTAAGGGCAGGCCCATGTTTGACCTAAACTTTGCATTTCCTCCCACCCCCTGATAAGCATAGTGCTTTGGCACACAGTGGGTGCTTAATAAACATCTGCTCTTGTTAGACCTTTGGATGCTGAAAGGAGAGCACAAGAAAAAGATTTGTCAACAGGAGGTGATGATGGGATTTAGGACTCTATGAGACCTAGTCATCTAACAGAATCTTCCCTTTCCTGAGTAGTACATATTAATTCCACTTCTGCTTCCTTGTCTGTAGATAATAGGTGAATATAAATTAATAAATCATAAGAATAACAATGATAACATTTCAACCAACTCTCCTGATGGAAAAACACATGCCTGACATTATCCTATGGCAACAATGAAACAAGTACTCCCTACTTTCTATGAGTTGGAATTCAGTACAGGATGAGTTACACAATGAGATTTCAATGAAGAAAACAAAGTATATTCATTCGTGTTTTTAAAATGCAGAAGCCTAAAGTATCATGTTGTCTAATTACAGCATTTTGGATCACATTACTTTTTATTATATGTAAACACATCTAAGTCACCTTTCCAGCAAAACAGGGAAATGTGTTCACTGGGGGAAAAGTAAAGAACTCAATCTATTTTTTTATCTCTAGTACACACCTGTGAAAGAAGAACAGGCAGAGGAGAGCTGGAGGCCTTAGGACAAGGTTGATCCCCACGGAATTTCAAACAAACAGCTATTCTTCAGAGCTCCATAGTATGGGGCCAGTCCGCCATGTGCTAATATTTAGCTCAGTCTCACTGAGGTTAGGAGTTGTCATTCGTCATCATTGACCCTACAGTATCCCAACCATATGGAACTACGCTAATCTCTTCGGACGCTGACTCTCTGACACTGTTTGCCACACTAAGTACTTAGTGAGATATTTGAGAAATGCAAGGTCCTACATTTATAACATGGATGGAGTGCTAAGTGTGGCAAAAATAAAACCACTTCTTGCCTCAAGAGAAAAAATTCCTTTAAAGCAGTTCTTGCTTTAAGTCCCACAGAGTTTCAGGGCTCCATGGGACTCATCTTTGTTTTTATATTTAGAAAATTGTCAATATATTTGATTTTCTTTGTAATCTGATGTATTTTTTCTTACGCATATAAAAATATGATTCTGAGAAGGGGTTTCGCCAGACCAGCTGCTCAAGGGGTACAGGGCACAAACGGGATGAAGTCTTTCTCTAACGGCACAAAGCAGCATCCTTCTTAAGTACTACTAAAATCATGTTGCTGACACACACTAGGAAGCATCTATCATCCAAACATTGGCTATACATCAGGATAGAGATGAAGAGGCTGCCCTCTGAGGATAGACACACACACAACACTGAGGGCTTGGATTCTTCACATTCCATTTTCATTCTAAAATACAACTATGGGCCATTATGAAATGCACAGTAACTCATCTCTAACTGCTTCAAACTCAGTAACATTCCTCTGCTGTTCTCAGTTTTTAAAGGCATGCATATCCTCGTTAAGTGTGTTCAGTTGGGACAAAGTGCAATGCCAAACTGATGTGCAGAACAAAATGATCAAAGTTAAAGTGATTTTAGCCAACACGCAAGTATTACGGTTGCTTTGTTTCCTGGGAGGACATGGGTTAAGTGAGCTGCCATAGAATCAGCAAGTTCTTCCACATAGACAGATAAGTCTTCAGGAAAGGAACCATGTAAAACCCATTAGAACTCAGTTTGATTATATTCATTGCAAGGGCTAAATTTACAACTGTATTTTAAAATATATCCAGAAGATTCTTTTGTTTAATCATGATCTTTGATCAGCTATTTTAAAGAAAATGTACTTATTTTTCCAAGTAAATCTACTCTTACCAATGTTGTTATCATATACAGATTTTTACCAGTCTGCTAAAGACAATTGCTAAAATAACAAAAACACAAGATAGACACAGTCAGCACTGAACTGATGGAGACATTGCAAACTCCCCCCATTATCTTTATTAACTGTTATATTTAATTAACATTTAAAGTTGTAATTCTGCAGGGAAGAGAAAATCCAAAAGGCACACAAAGCAATGGTAAAAATTATTCTGGTCAGGAAAAATTAGCATTCGAAGAGAATGGAGGAACACAGCCCAGCTGTGAAGACGTGGACAGATCATGTTCAAGTCATCGCTGAAATTGATCAAGGACTTGGTGCCTCTCCTAGAAGGCTGGGGGTGGTGCCTGCTGGCACGCTTGACTGCCATTGCTGGACGGATTTCATCTTTGTAGACTTGCACAAAATTCTCTGTACGCACAAGTACCACTTCCCAGGGCAATGTTTCCCAAGGGCCTTTTTGTCTTACACGCTTTCTTTGATCAGCACTGGCTTAGGATCATGCTCACCCTCCGTGGTCTTTTCAAATCTGGTCTTGCATTAAACTCTAAATCGACATGGTCTCAGGATACAAGAATCCGCAAATGTTTCAATTAGGTCTGAATGTTGTTTAATAATGACTTGGATAAAATTAATGTTCATTTAAATGTTCATGTCCTGCTGGAGAATTTATTCCATGTCAAACATGCCAAATGAAAGGACAAGTTTCT